TATCTATCTATCTATCTATCTATCTATCTATCTATCTATCTATCTATCTATCTATCTATCTATCTATCTATCTATCTATCTATCTACAAACACAGTCGGACACAATCATACCAATGTCTACCTTGCTACGAAGTGAACACAGTAAGTCATCATTATAAATGTAAAGAAAAAACACGCGCGCCCAAAACAAAATATGGAGATTTCCACCAGGATAATTATATTATTTTTATGTGTGTGTGTGTGTGTGTGTGTGTGTGTGTGTGTGTGTGTGTATGTGTATGTGTGTGTGTGTGTATCATTGTATGTATACAAAAGATCGATGGTGCTATACACTAATCATGCTACTGGTTTCTTGACAACTTTTCAACACGAGAAATACCCAGAGAAGTCACACAGGTTAACCCATAGTGCTTTTATTCCGTAATATCTTACAGCGTATCTTGACCCCTGATTTCTATTAATGATCTATAGATTGACCCCAGCAATGAGATTAGAACCAAAAAAAAATACATCCATGTCTTCCATTTACACTGTTCTAGTATATCACCTTCGTTCTTTATGTAAACGGTTAGTGCGTAATATCACCATCGCTCTTTACAGATGCTGTTAGTGTTTATATCACCATCGTTCTTTGTGTGCACGATTAGTGCACATTACTATCGTTTTGTGTACACGATCAGGACACGCCATCATCTTTCTCTATACCTAGTGAGAGCATAATATCACCATCTTTCTCTATACATAGAGCATAATATCACTATGTTTTTTTTATAAAAAATTAGAGCACAATATCACCATGGTTCTCTGTATATAGTTAGAGCATAATATCATCATGGTTCTGTATGTACCCAATTAATAATACTAACATAGTTAACGATTCATATCTAGAAGATAAGAAAACATTTTCACCATGGTTCTGTATGTTCTCATTCTATCCTTCCAGATACCCTGCTGTATCACGTCGTTAACAGGTTGACGCTGTACAGCGTAGGTATGAGAGATTCCATGACGTTCACTACCGCGGACAGAAAACACGACAGGGTTATGCTGATCGACGATGGATGTGAGTTCTATAGTTCTGAATTTATAGACCAAAACTTACTTGGTGATAAGGATAAAAGATAGCAACACCCATACTACCAAAGAAAAGAGAGATCAATCAAACGAGAAAAAGAGGGACTACACTTAATAATTTTAATAATAATAATCAT